ATCTCTATTGTCTTTACACCTAACATTAAATTAAGTTCAAAAGAAAGTAGAACGTGTAAAGACGATAGTGGTTATAGTATCTAAACTTAATTCACTGTTTTGCTCTATATTTTGATATGACTTCGTGAGGTACTGAAGCATGTACCTCAGTATTCGTTTTTTTTCATAATATTCACAATCATGTAATGAACAAATCTAATATTGAATAATATTATTAACATTGAAAATAATTTTGAAAGTTTCGTACTGATGATATTTCTTTGAATTAGTCAATATAATTTAATATATATAAAGAATCAATTATACAGATCATTTATTGTTTGTTGTGTATATTATACAAAAAAAAATGTTTTAAATATGTCAATATCTCATGTATTTTTATAATGAAAAAGTCACATTTTGTAAAAAAAATAATAAGAATCAGTCGTCTAGATTTTGATAAATTTCCAAACTCTAAGCACCAACATTGACAATGATAGCGACGTTAATACATTCAATGTATCATTTTTTATAATCAAACGAGAAGTTTCCATTGGAAGGAACTCAAATTGATGAATTAACTTCTCTTGGATCCTTATATCAAGATGAACCATATGAAAACTAACTTTCGATTCATTCATCAATTTTTGACTCGAAAAATCTCTTTTCGTTTCTTTTGCAAGATATTATTCACTGAAAGTTTGTTTATGTACGCGAAACGAAAAGTTTCTTAAATTCTTTATCAAACAGAAAAAACAGGCAATCATTCATAATTATTTTCGATAATATTATTCTAAGAAATTATAAAATATAGTCAATTCATTGGTCTAAAATACTCTTTACGCGGACAAGGTTTTCAAAGTGATGATACGAGCTGAGCATGTCGAGGGTTATTTTAAATTGCCGAGTATCATTGGCACTTGATCGTAACAGCATCCGATTTTTTAATGTCCCTCTTTTTGATTTTTGGAAAAAACTTTTTCGAAAAATTCTCAACTTTTTGTTCACAAAAACTGGTAAAGAAAAACAAAGATCTACGTTTTTATTTCAGCAAATGAGAAATTCAAAAATTGGGCTCTGCTACGACATAGCTTGAGCTGTCTGCTATATAAGAAGAAAAATTACCATTTTTATATTAAGTCGTTATTAAGAAAGATGTGCTCGTGCAAACGGTACTGTCGAAAAACTTATTTTGAGAAAAAAGCTAAATAGGTTTTAGAAATCGATCTTTATGAATCACACCTGTATTATATGTGATCTCAATATTAAGTATTAATAGTCTCGTAATGATTAATATAAAAAGAAAAACCTTGAAAATTTCTCGAAAAATATGACAGTAGGAGACAAGTTTAAGATGATAAGTTCGTCAAAATCAATTCATTTTGCGATAAGCCATAAACGTCTAAGGAATAGCTCCCTTAATGATTTGACAGAAGTTATAAATAAATTTGTTGATGAGTTTAAATTTATTTTAATATCTAAATCACATTGATGATACTTATACTATGTATGAACAAAGAATATTTAAGTTTTTAGATGAAAATATATATAAAAGCAAAATTAGATAGATTTTTGGTAAGACAAGTAGTCAAAGGCGTATAATCTTTTAATTCGCTGGTACTGTTAGAGTATAAACCCTAGCTTCGATAGAGACTGTAGTAGAACATTGAATAAGTCATTTTTGATGATATTATTGATTCAGTTCTTCCTTATCCAAAACAGTATCCATGAAGAGAAAGTGAAAAATAGATACAGTAGTGAGTTATAGGTTTTATGATGCATAGTGTTAATAAAGTTTTTTATTTTCGTACTAAAATTAGTAATATCATAAATCCAAGTGAAATATTTGTAAATAGTAATTTAGTTTTGAAATAGAACAATCATTGATTGTAGTATCTATTTCAGATTGATGACCATATTAACTATTGATGTTTATTTATTTCAATAAAAATTTGTCAATCGATTCATATTAATTCTAAACATCAAAATAACTTTGAATTCTCCAATGGATAGATGCAAAAAATAACACATTTAATGTTTTAATATGTTGAATTCCTTCTAATCCCATATGAACAGATTTAAATCGATTATTTATTGATGTTGGTGATTGAAAAACAATATTCTATCATAATGTTGAGGTTTATCATTATTTGTTATATTTAAATTTAATTCAGGATCAAATGTATATGTTTTTTCAGGACTTTGATCTGTCATTTGTCATTAATCATCAAGTTTAACTATAATCAGAATTCTAAAAAGCATTTATTATGTGCTTATCGATTTGTTCGAAACAATATGATCATATATTTTCATCAATAAAAGCATTAGACAGGTCGATATTACTTGAGTTTTTATATTTTATCTACAGATAGATAGAACTTCTTATGAATCAGAAGAAAAACACGATTCATCAAATTTTTACTGCAGTTTTTAGTATTTTTTAGGTTTGAATTGATTTATTAATCATATAATGTTAATGGAAATGTTTCAATTTGTTGTAAAAGAATAATATCAGGTTTTTCTCTAATATTGACAAATTAAATTTTATTTAATGTACGTACCGAAGTAAAATTTTCATCATAGTTGATATACGTTGTTCGATTAAATCATTTAATTCAAGTTCATCACAATATGCTAATTTGAATTTTTCCAATTTTATCTCAAGCAAAAACAAATTTGATTGAGTATGTTCCTTAGCTTCATCAGTACCACTTGCTTTAATGAACGTCATGTTAACTTTTGACAAGGAACTATTATTATTATGATTAGATAATTTTTTGTGAAACACGATCTGAAAGGAGTGTTGAAGTGTTTAGAGGCAGAAATTTGGATCCCCCCCACAGACCGTGACAGACAGGCTTTGGATCCACCACAGACCGTGACAGACAGCGCTTTGGACCCATCACAGACCGTGACAGACAGCGCTTTGGACCCATCACAGATCTTGACAGACAGGGTTTTTGGACCCATCACAGACCGTGACAGACAGGGTTTTGGACCTATCACAGACCGTGCAAAGCAGGACTTTGGACCCGTCACAGACCGTGACAGAAAGGGTCTAGACCCATCACAGACCGTGACAGAAAGGCTCTAGACCAGTGGCGTAGCCAGCAGGGGGCCAGGGGGAGCTGAGCCCCCCCTACGGACTTTTGAGCCCCTCCTGGCGAAATTTTAGAAAGACATATTCTTTTTATACC